CGTTTTGGAAACGTATGTATATATAATTATATATATATATATATACTAAAATACCAAATATAAAATCTATATTAAAAAAAAAAAAAAATTCTAAAACATAAATACTAAATAGTTAAACAAAACTCTAAAAGATAATAATAAAACGCTCAAATTCAAATGTTTGGACCAGCATCGCCGTTATCATTTTTATCAAATAAAACAGCCTCTAAATCAGGTTCGTTTAGAGAAAAATCTTCAGACTCAAGTCACCCAAGATTAGAATTTAGTGAATCAAATTGATCACCTCCAACATCCCACATATGATTAGGACATAATTTATATTTATAGAAATTATATATCTTTTTTTATTAGAGATAGATACAATCTTTTTTTTTAATCACAATATATATCTTATATTTTATATTTTTTTAATCTAAAAACGGAAACGAGAGTTTCCAAAACGGAAACAAGAGTTTCCATCGAGTTTCCAAATGGAAATTTTTAGGAATCGTGTTTCCATGGGTAGTTTCCGAGTTTCCGAGAGTTTCTGTTTCTGAAACGTTTCGGAAACGGGAAACGCACTTCGAAAAGAGTTTCCATGTAACGTAGGTTATTATAGAACGTATACGTCTGGCAAAATTAGGCATGCATCATTGTTTTTATTTTCTTTTCTGAAAAGACATAATATAATCTTCAAGTGATCTTTTAAAGGCCGACCAAAAAAAAAAAGTGATCTTTTAAAGAGTTTTTTTTTTTTTTATTTATTAAACATCTTTTAAAGAGTTTCGAGGTAGCATCATCGTGCAAGTGATCTTTTGGAGGGTTTCGATCATTTAGTTTACATTTTTTTTCTAGGTTTTGGATGAGCTAATATATATGTGAAACTTCAGAATTCAAACCATTAATTATCCATTCTAGCTAGCAACATTTAAATTTGTAAATACCATTTTTAGTTGTATGGAGTCATAAAGCGTGTGGTCACAATGCATGGGATGTGGAACCACCGAACACACACGATGATCCAAACATAGTTAATTCGAGTCATTGAGTGCTTTACATTTGCATGAATTGAATAGCAGCCGACTATTAGAATCCCTTGTTATTAAGTAGAAAAATATAAGTCTTTTAAAAAGAGTCTTTAAAAATATTGAAATATATATTAAGAACTTGAAAGAAGAAATAATTCATTTTTTGTTTTACTTTCCAGATGTTTGTTTTAAGTTTTAGGGGTTAGTGTTAGAGTTTATGATTTAATTTGATGTGGAACCACCAAACACACACAATGATCCAGCCATTGTTAAACGGAGTGTAAATTTTTTTATATTTTAATTACTAGTTAATGATAAAAATATAGGATAGTTCAAAATAAATAAAAATTGTTGAAAGTTGTAAATATTATTTAAAAAATGGCATATCTTGCATTATAAACATTTATTTTCTCATTTTTACAACTGCTAATATTTCTATCGATAAATAATAAAGTATTTATATTTATAATGAAAATAAGTATTTATTTGTATTTTTTTAACGAAAAAAGTCTGCCTGCTGTAAATTTTTTTTTTTTTTTTTACGTTTTTTGCGTTTTCTGATGCAATTACACATATTTTTTGATTGATTGTTTTTTGCATAATCGCATTAAAAATAGAATTTTGGCATTATATGTGTTACCAAGCGGAACCTAAGTATATTCTTATAAACTATTTTCTGTCTATCCAATTTTTATTAAAAAAATAGACTTTTTTACAAGCCAACCCTTTTTGGCATTTTCTCTGACATTTTTTCTTCTTCTTTTTGTATGAGCTATGTATCTCAAAATTCTAGTTGATACTTTTCTTCATTTTATAGAGAAAGAGGTGGTTTCTATCATACTCAAGATACTTTATAAACGAACAAAAAATATATAATGAGATATTCTGTACATGAATAATATGAATTAAATATTAATAAATTTCGAGAGTTGATAGATATTTTTCAAATGCATTCAAGGATGCCTGAACTGAAGAGCAGCCAATTACTATATGCAAGATTATTATTAAGTAGAGTATATATACAAAAATAGATTAAGACTTGCAGGTTTATGATTTATAAATTTATAACTCGATCTCATCTCAATTCGTAAAAAGTATCCATAAAATCTAAGGGATTGACATATTATAGAGTTGGAGCTTTGAGATGTTGACATAAACAATTCTTTAAAACTTATATATACCATTTAATTAATATATTTATAGGTATAAAATTTCTATATTATCTTCAAATTAAACACATTGACAAATTTAAATTAACACATATGTCAACATTTTATTAATATATTTGATATGTGTCACGATCGTGTTAACAAATATATATTTTTAATAATAATATTATGTCTGCAGTCAAGTTATCTTTCAGCAGATTTATTCTTGTAATAATTTAAGCTATATAGTAGATTACGCTCAAAAAAACAAATTTTGCGGTTCAAAGTATTACAAAAATAAATCTGCAAAAAGACAATTTGACTGCAGACATAATATTATAAATAAAAATATATATACAAGGATCAATATTATGATTTGATCAATATATATATATATATATATTTCTAACATAAGAGCTCCAAGTTTTATTATTTGTGAAAATAAAAACATGGTCATATACATGTGCAAGGGCTTCTCCGAACAAAACAACATGTTGTAGTAGGAACCAAAAAGCAAAGAGACAAGAAGATGTAAGTGTGGTCCTCTTAATAGTTATCCAAGTAAGAGTGGAAATTTCAATTAAAGTTCATCAACAAGTGATCACTTAACAGTTTACTAAATAAAGAAAACAACTAAAATGGTGTTGACAGAAAAGAAAAAATAAATTATCAAACATTCATATTCACGAGTAGGGGACGTTAGACTTATTGATCCATCATGTTCACACAAGAGCTCGTAATTACTTGTATCTTTCTAAAATGTACGATTATAGCTAATTCATATCACTATATGATCAGTCTAGTAGTTGTGTATGTTTTAGTCATAAATAAGCAAATTTAGCTGTATATTACTTAATGAATTTTACGGTTTCATACTTAATTAATCTCAAACTTATATTTCATAAATTTAATTCTTACGTATAAGTCCACAGAAGAGTTCTCTTTTCTATTGAAAAGAAAATTTATCATGATGCTCACTAAATTATGTCCTAGAAAGACTTCTTAGCTAAATAGTCAAGTAGTCAAGATACATAAAAAAGCAAAGAAAAGAATATATATATATATATATAAAGGGAAAATCTATTTTAAAAAGTAAAAACATTAAATCTATCAAACACCACTAGAATATTTTTTGTAATTATGTTTTCTTTTCTTTGGGAATAAAATGTAAATATTATCAAAAATAAAATTTATTAATAATTCTGTAGATTAATGGAGACAACTTTACATACAATCTCCACTAATGCGTAATTATAGACA